TTTTTTTTTTTTTCTCTGAGGTGCAACAAAATTTTGCAAAAATAGTCCAACTTTGCTGCCCAAGGGTTAAAATCAATCCTATTCAGGCATAACTTAAGTTATGCCTGAATAAAAAGATAGCTGTAACAAGAAGGCATTTTGAAACACCTGAATGATACACACTAACAAAAGTCCCAAGTAGGCATAACGCAAAACAGAATGAAACACGTGGCAAATTTGGCATGAAACACATTTGCCGCGCATTTTGCAATGCCTAACTATTTTCTGGAACACATTTACAATTTTGGGCTTTTGGGAAGGGACCTAAAATTACTTTTTAATAAAATCAATTATTTGTTTTAATGAGATTTGTTGTAACAAGATTATACTGTAGAGATTTGGGAGAATGATTTTTTTTCTTAATTATGATATTTTTGAGTAAATTTAGCTTTCTATATTTGCAAAGAGAAAAATCATGGTAAATTCAATATGATTCATAATGCAAAACTAGCTAATGTATCATACTTTTTTGCAGAGAATGTTCCTTCATCTGTGCATCAAAGTTTAGCAAGACTTTTTGCTCCTTTGCTCTTTGCTTTTTGGGTACCTATATTCATGCAAAAAAAAAACAGATTCTGTGTGGTTTTCTTCTGCAGTACAAAATGTTCCGTTTCTGTATCTCTAGACATTGTCCAGATGTTGGGGCGAATTTTTAAAAGTTTAAAGTGTTTGGAAGTCGAATAGCCCAAATGTCAGGGTGTCCCTGTAATCTCCGGGTGCTGTTGTGCTGTATATATATGGGTTCATTTTGAGGAATAATTAATGAGTGCAGATTATGGGTATACATTATTTGGAATGGTTTACGTCATCGCCGGGTTTTCCCTCTAGCTGCTGGGTTCATTTGACGGGTGACGTAGGAGAAAGGAAATATTTTGACCTGGAATTGGCGGACGTACGTCGGAATAATTTCACTTTTATTCATATATTTTGCAGTTACTGTACTTCTTTGGATACATTCCTTCTTTCACTGACATCAGTCACGCTAATCACCTTTCATTCTGAAAATCAATATTTCTCGAATAATTCTTCAGGTTTTTTTTAGAAAACTGTTACCGCAAAATACATGGCGACATTTTCGGTCATGATACTGGACTAATTTCTCATGCGTTTCCGGGGTAAAGTTCAACTGGGGAGTTTTTGTCATGTTTTTAGTTTTTAATAATTTTTCGAGTCCATATTGAATATATTAAGAAGGAATCGCAGTTTGAGTATGATTTTGTGTTCTTTTCTGTTCTGCGATTAAAATTGCATTCATGTTGAAGGGAAAACTTATTCCCGAGTCCCGAAAAAACTTTGTGGAAAATTTGAGGTGTCATTTGTGAGTATAGTGAACTGCAATATTTTGCTGGTCACACCGGCAAAATTCAAAAAATGGAAAAAAAGTTAACTTCTCCAACGTTATGACAATATATTCAGCGTGATTAAGTTCTCATAGAAAATCCCAGCAAAAACTAAAAAGACCCATCGTGATACAAATCTCAACATAGAATAACATTCAACACATTTTGAAGGTTCATTTATCAAGAAGACATTATTTTTCTAATTGTTTCCCTTAAAATTATAGTAATGAGCAAGTTTGCTCCCAAAATCATTAACGGAAATTTTGCTTTCATTTGTGAAAATCATTAAATAATGAAAAAGCTTTATTGCGAAGAAATAACACGAAGATTCTTTTTATGGAAACCCTGTATATGGATAACCAACAGCATCACTCCTTGAATACCGATTGGAAACTTCATTCAAGTTCATTTCCCACAAAAGTAAACTCACCAAACTGGATTCGTCCGGTGACGACAGACTCAACAGCAACACGCTCACATTCACCAGACTCGCATCTGATGGAACAAGAAAAAAAAAAGAACAACCTCAAAATGAGCAATCAATCAATCAATGGAACCCATCCATCTCATGGTAAACACATTTTCAGAGACCCAGGTGTGCGTGGAACTCGACCAAGATATCAAATGCACTCAAATTTTCTCCCTCCAACATTTTTTTGCAACTAGTTTATGAAGTAAAC